GGCCTGGCCGGCCTCCCGGTCTTTGTAGCCGCCGCGGAGGCCTCGGGCGCCCAGAAGACGCGCCCCTTCCCCCTGTGGTCGCAGACAGACCCGACTGAACCGCAGGATCGGTGCGGGGACGGCCTGCGAGATGGGTGTTTCTTTTTTGTTTGGGGGAGGTCTTGAGTGTTTTCATTTTTAAGTGTCATCGGTTGTATGATTCTTCTTTGGCTTGGATTCGTAGCCCATGCTTAGTCGGCCTGTTACCGTGTCTCACCACCCTCCGAGGGCGCCCGCACGTGGGAGGGCCCGAGGAAATGCGGACGGTAGGGCTTGGGTTCTGTGGGACCGAAGCCCGGGACACGAGTCCAAGGAGGATACGGGTCCCGGACGTGCCTCCCAGACTAGATCGCTTGGGAAAAACAGCATTTTCAATGGATTTATTTCGGTTCATTTTTTTTTTTTCTTTTAAGCAGCAAATGGACAATTGGATCTCAAAACACCTCTACCGTGTAGTGCAGTTTGAAACAATCTCTAGTTAACATCGCTTCAAAGACAGTCGTGTTCTGAAAATGTTGCATGTTGAAACAAACACCTTTCTATTTGGAATGTGAGCCAGTTGGTAATTTTTGTAAGGCATATTGGCGAATAATTTTTACACTTTTATAGTTAACATGGAATTGTTTTAGAGAGTTGGTTTTAGAATTGAAGGAGAAATAAACCCTGAAATGTATTTTTTTTGACTGTTATATATTTTGCCCATTTATATTCTTGGGATTTTTTGGTGTGTTTTTAGTAATTTTTTTTATTAATGGAGGGTGGGAGAGAGCGGAACAAGACCGGTCATTCTTTACTGATTGTTGATGCTGAGTGATCAGTATATAGGATCTAGAATACACATTACACAGATGTGGGTACAATAGGGCTGCTCACCACGGACTTTTATTGCATCAAATGTAGAGCTAGCCTAAAATATCCAATAATAAGAGTATATAGTCCATACGCTTGTACCTCAATACTGTGAAATATTATGCTACAGTTAAAAAGTGCACAGACCAGCCCAATAGGTCCAGACATGAAATAATTCCCAATACTTGCTATTTAAAAAACTTGTATGTGGTGGAATACTACATAAGTATAATCTCGTGCATATGTTTATATAGTTAGCAAAAGCATGGGCAAATAACATGTATTTAAACTTAACATTGGTTTCAGGTTAAGGGGAGGGAGTTGCTAAGGCGGGCTTCAACCTTCTATCTACTTAAAAATTGCTTGAATCTTAATACAGCATATTTAGTACTTATGTATTCTCTAAAGCTTTAAAAACAAAATGTTAGAAACCATAAAAATATATTGTGTATAGTACAGGCAACGTGCCTGTATCTTCAGTAGACATCCATACATACCAAATGTTTCATGTACTTAACAGGCTGGTCGTCTGATGATAAGGAAATTAGTTGCAGAGAAACTGAATATCCCTTGGAATAATATTCGTTTGCAAAGAACTGCGAAAGGAAAACCAGTTCTTGCAAAGGACTCGTTGAATCCTTACCCCAATTTCAACTTCAACATCTCTCATCAAGGGGACTATGCGGTGCTTGCTGCTGAACCAGAGCTCCAAGTTGGAATTGATATAATGAAGACTAGTTTTCCAGGTAATAGTACATTTTGGGAGTACAGGAACTTGTGTTTTGATGTCACAGTTCTTATCCATTACATGATCTCAGGTCAGGAGATGAATTATAGATCTTTAAGTTTAGGGGAAATGTGCCCAACACTCGATGTATCAGAGAGAGCATATATCTGAAAATGGTATATATCCTTGACTATTAACCAACTTATGCATAGGTAATAGATTCCCCATTACGAGGGGCTCATATAATGCTTTGCCTAGAGATAAAGTGGAATATAAAGATTTTCTTCTTGAATTATACCTCAGCTTGTTTCACTGAAGTATCAACCACAGTTTGTCAGTTAATTGTTGGTTTATTTACAAAAAATCACAATGCTAAAATAAATTACATTGTAGTCCTTGGGTAGAGATAACATGTACAGTTGACCCTTGAACTACTGAGTTTGAACTGCTGAGTCTGCTTATGCAGGGTTTTTTCAGTAAATACAGTCTGCCCTCCAATTCCATGGGTTCTGCATATGCAGTCAAACACAATTGAAGTATAGAATTTGTGAGATTTGAAACCTGAGCATATGACTTTTTATACCTACGAGTTCTACAGGGCAGATTGTGAGATTTACACATGTGTGGATTTTTGTATCTGGGTGGGATTGGGGGGTGTCCTGGAGCTAGTCTCCCATGAATGGATACCAGGGCATAACTATCTAAATACACTATTTTTTAAAAGTGAATCTATATATGTAAAAATGAAGTGCAAGCATTATTAAAATATTTAAGTTACTTATATATTGCCTTAGAAATTTGTTGGTGGTGGCTTTCGGAAGTGCTAATGTTTATTATAGGGTTGAATATACCGGGCAGTTTTAATGCTTACGTACTGAATACAGATTATCTTAACTAAACTTACCATTACTCATATTTAGTGAACATGTAGCTATATGCCACAGCATTCTACATAGTGCTTTATGTGTATTTGCTAATTTAATTCTCTCAGTCACCTTATGGTGAATATGCTATTATCTTTATCAGAAGATAAGTAAGAGGCTAGGAAAAAGACTCTTCCTAAGGGAACCCTCAGCGTCCTAATTTCATAATACAATTGTCTAATCTCCATACTGCCCTCACCACAGGATCTTTGGACATCTGGTTCTCTCAGTCTGGAAGGCTTGTATTTAATTTTATCCCTACCCCCATTTCCGCATAGATAACTCTTATTTACTGGTTAGATTTCACCTTAACCTTACTTTAAGGCCGCTTTTGTGAACCTGCAGTCCAGGCTAGGTTCTTTTCTTGTAGCCTCTCATAAAATGTACTGTATTCCTGTGGCATATCGCCATTTATGATTATTCATCAGGATGACTGTTTTCCCCCATCCTTGAGCAGGAACCATGTTAGGCTGCATCAGAGTTTGACCACTTTCACACCTCTTAGCACCTCGTCTAGTACATAATAGTGCCAATAAATGTTTGTCAAGTGAATGAATAAATACTGCACTGCTGTAGTGTCGACTTCAGAGTGTGGCGGTGAATCTCTTTGCCCTTTTGCTTTTGTTGTCCTTATCCTACATTTTCCCACCAGCTCCTTTCTGCTCATAAACTCTTTATTCTCATCAAACTCTGTTCTCAGGTTAGCTCAGAACAAGGCTTTACTAGTAATTTTAGAAGCAATACAACGGGTTTTTTTACCTGACTCCATGGAAAGGCTTCAAGGCATCTTCTTTTAACCTCCAGAAATGGTTTGCCATGTGTTGTATGAATGTGCACATGAGCATTTTTCTCAGGAAAGGATCTGGCATTCCACAGGTTCATGGATGGCTTATTCTAAAGGAACCATCGCCACAGAGGATTCAGAGTGAGCATGGAAATGGGTCCATGTTTTTATGGCTCTGCCGGCCTTACGTGAACTTTTTCTAAAATCGGAAATTAATAGAAAGGCCTTTATTTCCTAGTATACAGGCAGCACAACTACACGTTAATGACTGGCCCAGGGAGTTTGTGTCTGCTTGGAAATGGTGCCTATGAGAAATAGACTTTATTACCAGCTGGCTTGATGGGCATTGTTGGTTTTTGGTCAGTACTGGATAAACAAGTAATTACTAATTGAAGCTTTTAATAAATGGGGGAAAGATAATTGAGCAAAACTTGAAGATTTAGTTTCCTATTACATTTTATTAGTCCTTTCCCCACCCCCAGCATCCTGATTGATCTTAATCACAATTTCTAGTACTTTTCCTTTGTTTCATTATCAAAAGGCTATTGCTATGTCTAGTGACACATAGAAGGAGGGATATATTCCAGTTGTCACTAGTGTTACCATACCATGAGTTTTTGAAGTATAAAGGACACAGCAGGATATGTTAGTGAGGGTGGGAGGTAGACACTCGTTTGCTTTATTGGGGATGCATCTGAATTGCTCTGCTTAGCGGAATAAATGAGGAGAATGAGCAAGCAATGTTCCTTAGAGCCTTGCTAAGTCATAGGCCAAATTCAGGAAAGCAGCAGGGGAGGTGCTGTGCTTTGGACTGGACATCGTTAACTAGATTGTCAGTTCTCAAGAAGAATCGGCTTTTAAGGGCATCATTCGTGTTTTGAAAGAGTAGATACCGTGAATCCCATCTTGTGTTGGCAGGTAGCGGCATGTAGGAACTTGGGGAGACTTTTTCCTTCTTGCTGCGGTAACCATTTCTGTCATGGGCAGCTCGTTTCCTTTTTCTCTCCCAGTTGTCCTATTGCTGTGGCAGCAGGAGAGAAGGGACCTAGTCTAGCCTGCCAGGGCGGTACATTGCTCATCCTGGGAAGGATGGTGTTTTCCTGATCATCAGCATAATCCACAACCCTGGAGTGGGAAAGTTGAGTTGGTTTTTTTCTTTGTTTTCTGGGTTTTTTTAGCCACCATTAAAGGCATTTGCAAGTAGTACTATAAGTATAAAGAAAGGATAATTTTTGAATTGTTCAGTTTGTTATCATATTTACAACATAAAGCAACATAAGATAGGCAAAATATAGTATAAAAATTATTATTTAAATTTGGAAAAAGACCAGACTTTTCCCCCATGGTTTCATGTTTTCGTCTTTACATTCTTATTATAAACTTTCCTGGATATTAATTGGCAGGACAAAGGAGCTGAAAAATATTTTGGGATACAGAACTAATATTAATTAATTTCACTATTTCATGGAATTGCCTTCTAGGACAGCTGTTACACAGCAAGTACAAATTAAATATTGGTATTACAGTAGCTGTTCCCATTGTTGGTTCTCACTGCATGTAAAAAAACCCTTAACATATTCTCATTACTTCTCTATTCTCGTACCTCTCCATCTCATCTCTAGCTGCTCTTTGCGCACTGCTTTCCTTTTTTGTCTTTTGTTTATTTATTTCTTTATTTTAAAGATGTGGGGTACAATTCAGGGTTAGGTACATAAGTGGTTATCATACAGGCGAAGTATGGGCACCCTTATTGATCAACATGCCCCCCTCCGTAGTGTCCCCCTACTGCCAGTCCCTTTCTTACAGTATTATAATAACGTTCAGGGTCTGCTCACTGTATTCTGTTTACACTGGTCTTTTATTGCCTTGAATGTGGGAAGCTTATTTCTTTTCAAGGTCATTGCATCTCTCTGCCTGTCTTCCCACACTTCTTTCTTTTAACTCCCTGAGACTTGAAGGATGAGAAGTAGCCATTACCTCCTTAGAGAGGACTTTTCTGGCCATCTGATCTTCTCCTTCATGACCCTTCTCATTTGCATTATAACTTAATTATTTGATTATTGATAACCTGTTCTGTCTCATTAGGTGAGTTCAGGATCCATGCTTGTTTTGTCTTTTTTGCCACAGCATACCTATTGTACCTAGCAGAGAGTCAGCACATGGCAAGTGCTCAATAAATATTAGTTGAATGTATGGATAATAGAAAGGAATTGAGGGAACCGTTCTCCTTAGTTCTTCTTAAAATATTCCTTCAATTCGTTGAAAACTTTTTTAAAAGTAAGTATGCAACCACAAGAAAAGATGTATATTTCTGTGAGATTCTAGTTTGACTGTAAACTATTCTCATCATTGTGTTGTGATTTTAAAAAAGTTCTTCCTTGGAGTCTTTTCCTCACCCCTCCATTTATCTCTGGCTTTTGCTTTTCTCCACTACTCCCTTCACATTCTCTGCTCAGCTTTGTTGCTGCAGCAGTCGAGCCTGCTGTCGTTCCTGTCTAGGCAGCCTGCATTCTTCTAGATCTGTATTTTGCAGGATGCGTTTGGTTAATGCAGTTATTTTGGTGCACATCACTTGGTATTCTGATTCCTTACTCAAAAACCTTGTCTTCACTCTCAGGGAGTTTCCCCTTCTCCCATTTGCAGGTGGGTCTTTTCCACTGTCTGTAGGATTTGGGTGTGAGACTAGTATTTATTGAGCAACTTCTATGAATGTGATATGGTGCTATTCATCTTCGGGCTAAGGTATAAGTTCTATTATTATTTTATGTAAAAGGTTAAGACACTTACCAAAGGTGACATAGCCAAACAGTAGAAGCTCATATATTTAACCAGTGTTCTCTATAGTATATGACCTCCCAATATGAGATCTTACTGATTCCTGTTTAAAAATTCACAAATATGAAATTTGTGAAAAATTTTGTGAAACTGGGTTAAATAAATTTAAAGTTATTATGGAAGAACTGATGAGGAGGAATATGAAGAATATAGTTAGAAGCTCCTGGCCTTACCATTTTTTAAAACTTGTATTGAGCATTGTAAATAAGAGTGTGGTAATAGCAAAAGAATAGGCAACTCAAAGAGCTAAGAGATAAACTCCATGTATCTGTGAAGTCCTTCAATTCAATGGATAAAAGATTAGTTTATGTATTAAATGGCGCTGATGGAATTGACTGGCCATTTGGATGTAAAATATACTAATGACACAAATTCTAGAGGAATTAAAGGTTTAAATGTAAAAAAATTATAATCTAGAACAAAATATAGGCAAGTATGAGGTAGGGTTGCAGTAAATCTTTGCAGACAGTCTTTTTA